ATATTTCTGTGAGYTAACTGTGAGGCTCATCAAGAAAAAGGAGGTTTTACACTCTTGCTCCTACTGTGTTAACACACAGAATAAACAAAAGAGTTGTTGSTCATCCCAGGCTGACAGAGATTTTGGGCAAAGTTCCTCATATTCTGCAACATCTACAAGAGTCTCAAACATTTGTAGAGAACTTTAATGCTTTACTGCCTTAAGTTGCTCACTGCTGTCTTCCCATGACTTTTTCTCCTGCCCTTAAAAGAACATGAGTTATCATCACAAAGAGAAACCTGTTTAAGCTTCACAGAAATGCTATATTTGTTTTTTTCCCTCTGAAAGAGATTCAGGTATTTCCAGGGGACTTGGTATTTCCTTGAGAGTAGTAAAATGATGAGTAATAGGTGCAGCAAAGCACTGTTAAATCAAAACACTCTGTTTATTAACATGCACTGTATTCAGTCTGCATTCATCCTCTGTGGCAGTATAGATTCAGATTAAAGGGAAAGAAATAAGAAAAACAACCCAAACCATCCTCAAATTTGTCACGCTTCTTTGACAGAAATTTCACTCTGCCACAGCAATCTCAGATATATAGGAGTGAAGATGCTATTTCAGCGAGGACATGTCTCAGCTACTTTGGTTCAAAATGAATTTATATCCTGCTTCAGTTAGATCTGACATCCCCAAGGGATGGAATTTGGAGCTGGAATAAGGTTGTTCTATGCAGCAGCTACCTCTCCAMTGAGAGCAGTGTAACAATGTGATATTTCTGTTAATTAACCTCGTGTAAGATCCACTTTGGGATTATTGTAGAGTAACTGTACTGTTCGTTCCCCTAACCTTCTTTTCCTTGGTGATGGTTTATGTAATATATCACAGTCCTTAGAAGGTTTCTGTCAGTGAAAAGACAATTTAATATGCCAGACATTTCCCCCCTCATTCTACTCTAATAAAGTAACATAAACAACCTACACTGGACAGAGAAGCAGCTGGGGATTTTTTTTTTTTGTTTTTTTTTTTTTTTTTTTTTTTTTTTTTTTTTTTTGTTTTTTTGTTTTTTTGTTTTACTGACTTGGATTTATGGTACCATTTATTTCACAGCAAATCTTGTGTTAGATGTTCTTTTCCCATGGTTCATTTTGACAGCAGTTAAAATTCCGTGGAAATAAAGGAAACTTTTCTAGCTGAAATGGTTGCATGCTGAATTTTAAATAGTATGAAGTTCTGCCTTTTTTTTCCATCTAATATATTTCTGTGGAGGTTTTTTGCTGAACTGTGTTAATTTTTTAAAATGTATTAGATTTGCTTGCAAATTAAAAGAAGCTGTATAATAAAAGAAAGGACTTCATATTTAATGTTGCTTAAATTTTACAATTATGGCCACATAATAAGTTAAACTAAGGGGTTCTTTTATTCAGTAAGATTTAATTCTTTTCTGTTGTGTTTCTTTTTGAATTGTGGTTGGCAAAATTTGAAAAACAAACAAGCAGCAATATTCCTGGCATACCTTCTCAAAAAAAGTATTCATAATTTTGCATTTCAGTCTTAGTAYAGTATATTAAGCCAAAACCAATGTAACTGGTAACTTCTTGTGTCATGATCTCTTCCAAGGATACCATGAGACTTAAAACCTAATTTATAAATGGATAACACTAAGCTCTGAGCTGTTGTGCATCATGCTAATTTATTAATTAACTTAAATAAGATAGTTTATTTAATTTGCAGAGTTCACTAGAGCTTTTCCTGCTTTGGTGTTTTCCTTCCAAATCTACTCCTCAGTCTAACCATGTGAATAATCCCAGCAAAATCAATCTACAAAATTGAATTCTTCAGCTTAAGCATGCAGATACTATGATTAGAAAGACARTATCTACAGATATGACAGCTGGAAGAAACTGGAAAATTTCAAATGATACTCTAAAAGAAAGGGACTTCACTTTCTGTATATCTGGAACTTGATATCAATCAAGAAATATGTCAATGGCATAATGCACACATGCAGTATGCAGAGGACTGCTATTTTCACATTTATACACTGAAAATTAMAGTACTGTGTTACTTTCAGAATAATATTTTACATTTTTCAGCTAATTACTTCAGTGATCATTTCAAGCTGTAATCAAAATATCCATTGTGGCCAGGGCTATTTTCCTGGAACAAATATTTCATTTGTATATGGAAAGATGAATCAGCTGATCTTATACTTAAATGACAGTTATGCACATTGAAAGAAAAAACTAGTTCATGAGGTATTTTCTTCCAATCTCCACATATTTTAAAATATGTGAAACTCCTAGCAAACAGTTACATTTTTAGTTCTCTTAGATTACTTTTCAGCACTGCACTTTTGTTATTATCTGTTGGACAGCTACTTAATCTTGCTTAGTTACTCCAAGTATTCTTTTACAATTGTAAAGTATTGTAATAACTTTACTAATTGTAAAGTATTCTAAGTAAACATAAAGTATTCTAATCCAGAATGGTTCTTCTCTCTGTTTTTCAGAAGGCCATATTTATAATTTTTCCTATATATATGGTCTATCCACATCACACCATCGCTGATGCCAAGTGGGTCCAGTTTTTGAGGACATATTCCACTAACAGATACAGCTGGGTTAATTCCACGAATGTGATTGCAAAAGTCATTATATCTAGATACATAGTGCTGTTCAGGGGATTCTAAAGTATACAGTGATTCTTTAAATATTGCATATATAAGTAATTTTATTCATTTCTATAGGTCCCAGGAGTCGCTTAAGTGTTTGGAGAATCGGATCCTTAGGTTTCATGTAGTTAACACATTTGYGTTTTCTTAAGGGTAGACTCAGTCATGCTTTTATGTTGCTTAAATTTTAAAAACATTTACAGTAGCGCTAATTTTTAGTATGCCCTGAGGTTTATTTTTAGTGAAATTATTCATCCTTGGAAAATAATCATGGCTGAAAGGCAAGTCAAATACTTCTACTGCTTGCTTAAATTTTAAATTTMATCTTAACAGAACTTACTGTTATATTTCCAAAGTCTATTCTTACTCTCATGATGGTACATTATTTTTTCATGACATGATTATACTTTAGAATTTARTATTTTTAAATGTCATGAAATGATAAAGCTAAAATGTGCTGGAAGACATACAATTCTACTGCTATGTTTACAAGAAAACAGTTACGTTTCAATGGCAAATTCATGCAAAATGACCGTAATAGTGTGAAATGCAGAAGTTACTGTTTTTCCAAATTCATTAAATCCCTTTAGCTTCACATTTAATGGAAACTCTGACTGCTGTAGAAACAAAAGAAATAGAAATTCTAATAAATCCAGACTGAAATGAATAATGAAGAGTAACAAGAAAAAATTAGGCTTCCTAGTGACTGAGAATTATACTGCTGTCTCCTTTTAAAGACATCACATTTCTACGTCCACTTGTAAAACATTACAGCCCGATTTGCTGGGCAAGACAAATGCTCTCCTGGTCAAGTCCATCTAATTTCCATCCATTCCCCAGTATTCATCTGACATATGGAGAGCTCATCACAGAGCTGGCAAACAGCAAGCAGGCAATTGCTGGAGAGACAACAAAAGGAATCTTTCTTCTGAAGGCAGGATAATGCTCCAAGAGCTCTGCATGGATCAACACTTCCGAGTGCATATTCAATATTGCTTTTAGTGAATACAGTAAATGATACTATTTATAATGCATTCCCATAAAGGTTCCCAGAGTCCAACATTATTCTCCTGGATTTTACTACTAAATTAGCTATTGCATTCTTAATGCTTTTTGGCAAGCTTTTCCCCTGTTTTCTGATTCAGATGGCATCTTTAGGTAGAATCGCAGGGCAAGGTTGTATGAATAATTGCTGTCAGGAATTCAGTCTTGATTTCTGAAATAATATCCTAAATTCACACCCCTTTCCTTCCCAAGTGTGCTTGATCTTTTGGGGGAGAGGGGGTTTGTTTTTTTTTTGTTTGTTTGTTTGTTTGTTTGTTTGTTTGTTTTTGTTTTGTTTTTTGTTTGGTTGGGTAAAATTAAATATGTATTTCTATCCACTTCCTATGAAATATGTACAAATCTGCCTAATTCTCTTTCAGGTCCTCAGGTCCCTTCCTTTCATCATCATGGGCACCTCTCATTTCAGTCCTTGTACTGGCAGACCACAGCACTAGAAACACTACTAGTGTAGCTGTATTTTGGAGTGTAGATCAAGGACAGTTGATACTGCTCTCCATGAAGCAAAAATGGAAAATTATGTACTGTATGAGGGTGGCTGGAATATCTATTATGTGCCAGCTGGGAGGATGGAAAATTCCTTTTTTTTTTTTTTTGCCAGATTCATGTCTCCTATGTGTGATGGGTTGACCCTGGCTGGATGCGTCTTCACCACCACAGCTGCTCTCTCTGTCACCTCTGCAGCTGGACAGGGGAGAGAAACATAACAAAAGGCTCATGAGTTGAGATAAGGACAGGGAGAGGTCACTCATAAATTATAATCATGGGCAAAACAGCCTTATTTGGGGAAATTAATTGAATGTATTATCAGTCAAAATCTGGCTCATGGAACACCTCCTGCCCCTCCTTCTCCACTGCCCTAAGTGTCTGCAAATTGGCTGGGATTGGTTCTCTTGGATGTGGGAGAAGCTTCTGACCCCTTCTCACCCCTGTAACCCCACTGCTACCAAACCCTGGGCATGCAAACCCGAAACATTGTGCTCACAATCTGAACATAAAATATCCATCCTCATCAAGGTCCTTCATTGGTTCCTATGGCTTCTCTGACGCTGACTTCACTTTTCCTTCAGAAGCGGAACTTGCTCAGTCACAGTGATGATTTTTTTGCAGATGAAAATGGGGATTATTAGCACTCAACAAAAATGCTGTTTGAAACCATTGTACTGTCAGAATATGAGAYTGTTAATTTGCAAGTGAAGAAAGCAAATTATGAAATTGCCTTTCCTTTTCCTTAATTTATTACTTCATCGAATATTGTTCTTTTTTTTTTTCTTCTTTTCTTCAGCAATGGTTGTTTTGAGCAATTTGGAACCAAATACAACATATGAAATCAAAGTAGCTGCTGTTAATGGAAAAGGGCAAGGAGAATACAGCAAAATCGAGATCTTTCAGACCTTACCTGTCCGTGAGTAATACTTGTGCCATTAAATAAAAAATATCATTATCCTTTGTTATCTCTAGATTTGAATTTTGATTCAATGGAGACAATATTTCTTGTTTATATTCCACTCCTCCGTGTATTACATCAGTCTTGACATTGTTTCTCAGAAATGATGTTTCGTTATTTCACCCTTCCAAGAAGTAGGAATTAATYTAAATTGGAAAATTTATCTCATTAYCTTATATTTYTGAGACYCAGAAAAATCTTTGTTTGATRTAAAAGRRCACAAACCATTTGTGGTATTAGATTAAAGAATTTTTCTCATTAAAATTCACTCCGGATATTATAAATTGGCTGTTTCTGGAGACATTTCTTCATCAGACTATGGTGCCATTGTTTTGCAATTATCAAGCCTCAAACACAAATGTTAAACTGTGGGAAAAATGATGAGAATAAATTGTTTTGCCTATGACTATATGCAAATGAGAAATTCTATGAAACCAATTCTACATTTGGGCTAACTATAGGCCAGAGATTCATATTTAAATATTAAGGGTAAATGAAAAATATTTTTCTCAAATTATCCTTAAATAGAAGCAACAATAAATAAATTAAATATAAAGAGAGAAGAAAAACAAAGGAAGTACCAGATGGCAGTGTGTAGTAATCAAACAGACATTGAAATACATCAGYAGCTACTGCCAGACCAGGCTGTCACAGATCTCTTGCAACTGAACTCTTTCCTGAGTAGGGCATTATTCACTGAGCTAATACTGGCTCTAAGGGAATGAACAATGAAAGMAATGTAACCACAAAGAACACAAAATATTTCTGTTATTGCATTATATTATATTTTATTATATTATAATTATGGTTTTAATTATATATTTCTTCTGTCCCGAAACAGTAACCTGGCAGCTTTGAAATTTCTTTTTCATTGAAGCATATGGATATTCTAAATACATTCCAGGACAGATAAAATAATTTTCTATTCCTCCTACCAGTATACCTGATGGAAGAAACTGAAAGACATTATATGTTATCTGACAGAAAGCCAAATAACTTTTATGTTGAGATCTAAGTCAGTTTATCCTTACTTTGATAAGGGATAAATACAAATAATACAATCATTTCTAAAGGACCTGTGTGTCTCTGGGTGAATGCAAATTTGCAGATATTTTGATGATAAGACACTTCAGCATGATATGTTAATTTAGGATCTCTTTTTTAAAAAAAATGTAATAGGCACTGCATATAGAAATGATAATCTGCGAATTTTGGTTGAGAAAGTGCTGTAAACTGGCAATTAAGCTTTTGATTGGATGTTTAAGACTACCTTTATCTTCTCAATACAACTAAGACTTTTGGTTTTAAAAATACGATTCTTTTTATTTACTCTTGGTACTGACTTCTCTAAAATTATCTTATTTAACTTGGCACAGTTATTGGAGAGCAAATTTACTTTAAATTTAAAAATTGTATTGCAATTTAAAAATCTCTCATGGGATTAAAGTTTATGCTTAAGTTATGGATGCTTACAAGTAAGAGAAAGTATTTTAAACTTCAGTGTGAGTAGCAGCTAACCTTGCTGAATTGATCAATAAATTATTTTGGAAGGAAATTATATTTTAAAGTGTCAAAATTCGGCAGGTCTCAAAGAAATGAGTATTTCTTTTGCATAACTTTGTTTCCTTGGATGCAGAATCCACATTAGAACATATTTTAAGCACAATATTTAACACTCCTATTAAGGCTGCTTTGTAGTGCCAGGAAGGATCATACTGATTTTAAGATTTTGATTAATATTGTTATGGACAAGTTCTCGGCTGTAATTTAAGATTTATCTCATTGCTGAATTACTATTATGTACTGTTTTTTCCTTATTTAGGGGAGCCAAGCCCTCCTTCAATTCATGGACAACCAGAGAGTGGCAAGAGTTTTAAACTCAGCATAACTAAACAAGATGATGGAGGTGCCCCYATACTGGAATATATTGTCAAATACAGAAGTGTAAGTATTTCAGTTAACCAAAATAAGTGAATTATGCTTGTTGACATCTGCTTTTAACGCAGAGAAAATTGTTGATATTATTTGAAATTTAACAAAGTGGTTTTCATTCCAGAATATAATAATAAATTAAAAAAAGATATAGTGTGTTCTCTTTTGTGACTAGACTGCAGACATCAGATTATTAAAAAAAAAAAAAAGGAAAAAAAAAAGGCACTCTGCTACTTCTAAAAGTATAACTGAAAAGTCATCCTATCAAGAAAATTTTATTATTATTTCTGTTGCATAGTAAAAGAGGGACATTCACATTCAGCTTTTAAAAGCACAGTAAATTAGCAAATGTTAAAGTTATACATTTAAAGGTTGTTTGAACTGCAAATTTTTTAATCTATTGTAAAATGCATCTGTATTGATAGAAAGCTATATTGCAGTGCTCCATATTAATTGTAAATTACATTAATTATCTGATCATGTTTCATGTTTGCTATCTGCCCGGATTCTGAGTCTCATCCCAAAAAAGCCAAATAGTTGACGCATTGTTGGGACTTTCATGAGTTTCAGGGTATATATCAGTTCTTAGACAGCCACTAGGAAGAGTTTTTTGGCATTCTGTCATCTAGATATCTCTGTTTTGGCATTCTCTCATCAAATCTGGCAAGCTTAGAAAACAGGCTTTTCTGCAATGTATAATTTATTAAAAAAAAAAAAGGGTTTTTTTTGTTTAAATTATTATTAATAATGTAACTAAAATACATTTCCTGATGTTCAGAAATGATTGGGTTGAAGGCATAGCTGCAGAGCTGGCAAAAGTGATGAATTTAATTCCAAACTCTGCATTTTTCAAATATTCCCTTGTGTTCTTTTAGGAAGATTTTAGAACTTTTATCTGACTAGACCCARTAAAAAAGACATTTTACCAGAGCCTAACAGCAGAACTCATGTTCATTAAGAGTCTAGAAAATTTGGAATGGAACATCAGATATCCAAGGGTGTTAAATTGAAGCTAGTGAGGACTTATTAAAAAAAAAAAAAAAAAAAAAAAAAAAAAAAAGCAATTTTTGAGAAATTAACTGTAGAACCTGTTGGAATGTTGTCAAAAAGGAAAAGACAATTCCTTAACTTTTAATAGTTTTTAGTCACATTTCCTGATGTTTGCTACAATGTAACTTTTTTATTMTAGTCCTGGGATTATCCGAGTGCTAAACCTGGTATGTAAATTATTCTCCTATGTTAAATATAACCAAAGAAGATTAGTAGCTCTAAATTAATTTAGAAATATTTGGTAGCACACTTAAGAGTAGTCTGAGGGAATGACCAGAAGTTATTCTGCTATCACKGATCCCTAAATCTTAATTGACCTTCTTAAACGACTTTCTGGCCAGTGAACACAGTTGACATAAAAGAAAAGTAATTGCAAGGAAGACAAGGGTAATAAAATATGTACTACTAGACAAAAAAAAAAGCAGTTTTGCAGGATTGAATAGTTAGATTAGATGCCTCTAAGTGTTTACTCTTGAGTACAAAATAAACAGTTTGGGTATAATACACTCATGCAGCATATGGAATTTAACCTGTTTTTATGATTAAAAAAAGCTACATTGTTTTGGATCTATTAAAAAAAWTTTTGGAAATCTTGAGTTTGATCTAGTATTTTGACTAAGGCATATTATTATAATATAAAAAKGACATTTTTGTCTGTTCTTGGAAGGTACAGTTTAAGCAGTAACTAGAAACTTAATAGGTTACTGAAGAAGATAGCTTTTACTTGTTCCTCAAATCCTCAACTACTCCTTTAGCTGTAGGAATAAGCAATTCACTAAATTAAAGACCTTCCCACAACAAAAGGAGCAGAATTGGTTTTTGTTTGTTTGTTTTAATTAGAAAGAATGAATGCTGTTTAAAATTCATAATTATCTGTTGACTGCTTCTCTTCTATCTTTCCCATTGGCTGTGTTTAATCATCTTTGCTACAACTCGTGCCAGCCTCATTATTAACACCTGGACCAATGTATTGCTTACATGCTTGAAGAGCAGATTTGATAGCAACCCATACATTAGTGGTTTTTTTTTCCTTCAAAAAGTCAATTTACCTAAGTAAAGTTTAGGCTTTATATMGTTTTTTAGTTGTTGATTTTATTTTTTTTTTTAACTCTGGGGGAAGGACAGCCTTTAAGATTTTACAGCCTGGTTGAGGATATTTGGTATTTTTTTTTATTTTTTTTTTTCTGGAAATCTTGTATTTCATTCTGTCAGATATTCCTTTCCTAGCATCAGTTTCTTCATCTCATGGGCAGGAATTACTGACTTCAGATAATAAACAGCTTGACATTTTTTTCTCTATTCCAGAGAATTAGGTACTATGCAATTTTTATGAGTAGCAGCCTCATTTTTTTTTTCGTCCTGCTATTCTAAGAAAGTCAAGACAGCCTGACAAAGTTTCAGTGATGGRGTCTCAGGCTGATGGCACATTGGCTGCAAAGTTACCTGAGGAAAGAATAGGAAAGGAGAGATTAAACAAAGGAAAATTKTTCCCCAGTAACCAGCTGGAAAGAGCACTGATGGGAATTCTCTAGGGAAGCATCCTGTCTGATGCCAGATATGACCACCTGACTCACACTGTTCATTTCTTTTTATTGGGGCCAACTCAAGCCCTGCTTTGGTTCTTCCTGCTGATGGTGCTTCCAAAGTTGGTGTGACTCATGATGACATGCTGWTGTTTCACAACAGATGTGAAGCTTTATTCGTATAAATTATGGAAATGTGTACATTTACAATGATTTTGTAAATGGCTCTTACCTGCTGGGGTATTTACCAAGGACCAGAGTAATAAATTAAAACTGAGAAGTTGAGGAGATAAGGAGGACCAGGAGGAAGGAGCAGCTGGGATACCTGGGAGAGGGTGTCACAGCRGCTCAGGGCAGGCAGGTGACCAGGTGACTCCTACCTTGTCTTTGTCACTCTTCTCAGAATGTCTTCTGTCTTTGCACTCAGGACTTGGACTTTGTTTCATTTATCTCAATTCACCCAGTTGGTGCCAGTTCCAACCAGAGTTATGGTATCTTTGGCATGGCATATGTTGGTATCCTGTTGCATTTCAGCTCATTCATTATTTTTCACCTGACCAAATTATGGAAAATCTGCCTTTTCACTTGTTCTCATGTCTGCAGAAGAGCCATCTCATACAGAAGAGCCGTCTCATACAGAAATCTACAGTTTTCCTTCCAAGTCCTAAACGYTATTAATCATGTATTTTTCTTCTGTTTGTTTTCAAAATATAGTCATACATCTTTTTGCAATACTGTCTTTTTCACTGGACAAACAGAACCAGCCTGAATCTTTAGTTTATTTTTTTTTTTTTTATTTGGAATATTTTTCTCCTTCGTGTTTCTGAGCCCCTTCGGAATTCTCCAGAATATTCACACACTGTATGTGCACAATATGGAGATCACATAGGGAACTCCTGAGTCCTCTCATGTTGGCATTCCTTGGAATTTAGCAGTATTTTTCCTAACTCCTCCCATACCTCACCAATTTAAATAGCCATTAAATACAGCAGTGTTAAATTACATAACACTGCTGTTCCTAATACCACTAAGGATTATTTTCATATACATATTGCAATCAGTATTAACTCCTTCTATTTCAGCGGTGGTATGCAAAAATATACGTTACACAGGAGTTTAGTGTAGTGATAATATAAGTGGATTCACTCAGGGTCAAGTCAGGTGATTGCAACAGAAAGTATCCAGCAGCATATGGGAAAATATCCTTTACAGGAAATCCCATTTTTACATTATGATGAGCAAACTGTTGTTACTTCAGTGTAYTTAGTTCTTTTCATGATTTGTAATAGATCTGCCATTCTGATGTTTTTCAGTAGTCTGTCACTGCACCAAATAGGAACTTTCCCCTGCCTGCAAATATTCCTGAAAAAAAATTTTTGTTGGATTTTAATCATTCTCAGAATTATCATCTARAAACACTAATGCTAACGCAGAGAAATCAAGAAAGTTTATGAAAAGGTGAAGTCAGTATGGAAAAATCATCAACCACAAAACTGATAACAAATAAATTATTACAGCAGTGCACATAAGGGAGTTTAGTCTGTCCTCTATTTTCTGAAGACTGGGGACAAAAAAAAAACAAAACAAAAAAAACAAGTCATAAGGAAAACAAAATAAGTCCTAAGGAGCATGATTGGTCCCTGAACTCTCTAAATTAGATGCTATTTTCTCTGAAGCCAGTATCAGCAAAGAGCAAGATGCTTCAGCAAAGAGCCTGAGTATCAGCTACTGAGTAGTGTGCAGCTAAAAAGTTACACCTCCATGTATTATAAGTTTGTTTGGCTTTAAATTTTCCCATATAGTTTATACCCCCTGATTGAATCTGTGTTGCTGTGTGGATTGTATGACTAGGATTTATCTCTCAGACATGTTTTTGCCATGTTATTGTAACTCAGTGTCTAGCAAGAGTAGGACTTACTGACTGTTATTGGTTGTTCTTTGAACAAGATTACTTTTTTGCTTGATGGTAAATATGGTTTTATCCTTTTGCCTAATAGTAATTGTGTAATTTCTRCTTGTGTAAAAAATAATTAAATATATCATGCATTCAAAGGAGCAATTGCAAAGGTAAGAACTCCAAATTTATGAAGTAGCAGAATTAAGTTTGCAACCAAAGTCCTCATTATTTCCCTCTGTGTAGATGTCTAAATTACCTGAACTATGAGAAATTATGAGAATCCTGTCTTTGTCTAGAGCACCATCTTAAAGATTTGCATGTATCCTCTCACAGGCGTAGACATAATACTTCATAGTTTCTCAATGATGTTTATATTCTTGCATACAAACTGGTTTGCAAAATATTCCTATATCRCTACAATTAGTGCATATTTTTATTAAATAACTAATGTGTGATAAAAGCACAGCTGAATTCACGAGCAGTTCAAGACTGGGTTTAATGTCAAATTTCTTTGAATGAACATTGATCAAAATATAATTGAAACATCTATATAAAATAAACCTTTTATGTAACTTAYTATCATTTTATTATATAAATTATTAGCCTGGTGTTCTACAAGACAAAAGCCAGTATTTGAGCAAAGAATAAATTTAATCCAAAAAGTTTAAAAGCATTGAGCACAAAATTCTCTAAATCCACATTGTGTAAACCTGATAAGGAGTGGTCAAAATTGTAAAAAGCCTGAGTACTCAGAACTACAAATTTAGATTATTTCATTGTTCATAACCTCTGTGAAGTAAGCTTCGTATTTTTGTGCATAGTGTAGATACAGACTTAATACAAATCATACAAGCTTTTATGAGAATTTAAACAAATATTTTCATCCTTACAGAAAGATAAGGAAGACCAGTGGCTAGAGAAAAAAGTACAGGGTAGTAGAGACCACATCATCCTAGAGCATCTTCAGTGGACCATGGGTTACGAAGTACAAATTACAGCTGCCAACAGACTGGGTTATTCTGAACCAACATTGTATGAGTTCAGCATGCCACCAAAGCCCAACATTATTACAGGTAAGTTAATTTCACCGTGTTTTCTCCATATGAATTATTTCCAGCTCACAGTACACTGTGTGGTTGAGCATAATRTAACTGAATTCTTGAACTGAAAAAAAATGAGATCTGAGACTATTAGCAAAGATTCAATTCAGGACCATTAATGAGTCCCTAAATCCTTAAATGGGACCCTGTCTCCCATTTTTTTCTTAGTAATAAAGTAATTTTTAGGAACAGAAGAAATAACCCTGTTGATGACAGTTAAAAAGGAAATCCAGTATTTCAGATACACCTGTTTTTAAGTTGCCTTGTAGTACCTATTGTCTAGTTAAGCAACTGACTTGCTGGAATTCTTCATTTCAGGCCCATCTCTGCATGTGCTTTGAGCTGCACATGCAATAAAGACATTTGTTTTAGTGTCTGGTGATATTAAGACTTCAAATAGTCTTGTTTTAGATACTCTCTGAATAATTCACCCTAACAGGGTGACCAGACAGTCTCCTATGAGGTTGATTTACAAAATTTGAAATCTATAGAAACTGCTCACATTTTTAAGAGTGCAAATAGGAAGTTTCAAATTCCATTKCAGAAAAACTGCATTGTAATTAACAGTGAGTGAGAGTTTTAATGCTTTAAAACAAATTTAAGGTTTTATTTTGATGCAACAATGCAGAATTATTTAGCTCACAATAAAACTAAAAGAATGCAATTTCTGAAGTATTATGGGTAATTTTAATTTTTATAAAGAAAATGTTACGAGGAAGAGATTTCAAACTTTCAATAAAAATTATGAACTGCTATCTTTAATAAGAATTTGTAAATTAGATCAGTGTCATCATTACGACTTGAAAAATCAGATCCTAAATCACTAATGTTGTATTTTCTAACTGCCATTTTTCAAACTATTAGTGTATTATAATCAACAAAAAAAACTTACCAAATAAATATAGTGGCAAATATATTACAATGTGAACACCTGACTAACATTGATCTAACATTTATAAAGAGCCAATGAGCAAGGACTGGGCTAATGTGCCATCAGAAAACTTTTAAATAACTGGCTATTTTTTTCTTGTCTGTTGCGAGTTTTCTTCAAATGTATTTTCAGGAAAGTTATCACAAGAGCCGTGCAACAATTTTAAATATTCTGTAGCAGGTTTGTTTTTTTGGTTTTTTTTGGGTTTTTGTTTTTTTTTGGTTTTTTTGTTTTTTTAATATTGGAAGCATTGTTACTTTTTTTAATAGAAAGGAAAACACATTTGTAATTCATTCATAAACTCAGACCCAGTTCTAGTACAAATATTTGGTTTATGCACTTGAATTGAAGTAAAGTTGATTTTCATCATGATTGCAATGTAGGGTCTCAATAGGTTCTGTGTACTTGTTTTTAAACAGGCAGGGTCTTGTGATTGCCATAATTCAGAAATAAACTTGCCATGACTGAAAAAGAAGATTGAAAAACAAATTGAGGGAAATTTATTAGCCCAGGGAAATAAAAGTATTTGTCAAAAAAAAAAAAAAAAAAAAAAAAAAAAAAAAACTTACTTAGGAAAAGGATAAGCCATTTTTCAATTTTGTGTATTTGAAACAAAAATCTTTGGCAATGCAATCTAACTCTAGCTTGTTGTAATTATATAAACTATTCCATATTATTACCACAGCTGCTGTAACAGAGAAACTTGATTTTTCTATGTAAATGATAACATAGGTGCTCTCTAGACATTCAAGTAAAAAGCAGCTTWATTAATTTAATTTCAGAAGATAGAAAATTTCTCTCTAAAAACAGTTTTATATGTACTTAGGGGCTTATTTCTTTCACTGCTCTCCCATAACCTCTAAGTAGCTGTAAGAAGTCTGTTACACTATTTAACTTCAAGTCTTCTTTATATTAATCATTACTGCAATTATGATTGTGGAACCAATTAGTTTCCTTGACAACTGTTTTTGCAAAGCCTGGCAAAGAGTGTGAAATTCCCATCATAAGAACATTCTGTAGGCAATTTTTAGAATTATGTCAAAAGACACTTAAGATCAGTGAAACATTAATGTTCATATTCATGAGTCAGCATGATTATCTTGGTTTTAAATGACATATTATCATCACAACATTATATTTATAAATATCTACATGATGCTGCAAAAATATGAATGTCATCTATTAAGACTTGATAGATTTAGTGTGTAAAATGTGTAAATTTGAGCAGAAATATTCTTTCTGATATCAGTAAACTCTGATGATGCACTATTTGTTTGAGGCTTAGGTATTAACACCTAGGCATCTAATTTGGATTTGAAAAAGGACATAGGCAAAAATAATGAAACTGGGTAGATTTTTGAGTGAAATCTGCATCATTTGCCTTGTGCTCACTTAGTAGCTACAGTAACTGARGTTCCCTTTCTTATTATTAATGGAATTATTAGAAAGCCTGTAAGACTCCTGAAGGTTTTCATCTGTATTTGCTCAAATCTGTGGCACTTCAGCTGTACTGTTTATGTCTTGCTCCAAATGAAATYTAAATAAAAATAAATCTGTAGGCCCTCTGCATGCATTCTCATAAACATTACTTATCCCAAGAGAATTCTGGAATCCTGTAAGTATCTTGTTGGCTAACTATATGTAACAATATCCTGGTGAAATATGTGCACGTTAATGGAATAAATCAGAGAACTGCAGGGGGATGGAGAAGAGGATACATTGGCTGTCCTTCAGTGGGGGCTTAGCAGGGAAATAGGAGTTGTCACAATAAATAAAACTTCACTTCTGATTGCTGCAGAAGGAGCTTGTTTGTGCTTTCAACAGCCATTGGATATAAGGCAGAAGTAGTTATCCCTGGGGAAAGAACTGGAAGCCAAAACTCTACTTATCTGAATATACAACTCCTGTGGGCACTGAATCCACAGCTTCTGCTTCCTGGGGAAGTACCAGCTCCTGGCTACAAGTCAGATTTCTTGATAATACAATGATGATTTTCCAGTAACAGTCTTAGGTCTGGGAAGGAGCTTGAGGCTACAAATTGCTGTCCGGTGCCAGGGAGGTGCATAAATAAGACAAACACTCCTTTAAAATTTCACATGGTTGGTCTCAGCAGCCTCCAACTGTAGATCGACTTTATTTCATAATGTCTGCTCCTAGGCCTGGAACATGGTATCCATTCACAGAACCACATATGTGATGAGTTCTTCAGAATCTGTAATCCCCTGAATGAAAGTTTCCTGGTTTTCTGAAGTGTTTATCAATGGAAATTTGCTCTGACTTTGAGAAATACTCAGCAAACCTTCTTAAAACCCTTTCCTTTAAATAACTGCATGTGTAAATTTATTCATATATGCATATGCATGTATATATATATTAGTGAATATGTTATATATATATATGTCTATATTTATATATGTATACAATTTCCTTCTTACTATTTTGAGTAATTTTCTGTGACCAGCAATTCTATATCTGTATTTCACATTTCACTTGGGCACATGAACACATATTTTAGAATCATGCTTGAAAAAAGAGTTTTGCAGTCTTAAATGCAGTATTTTATGTGTTCCAAAATCTCACTRGGAGTGTCAGTTGGCAATACTCCCAGGCAGGTATAACTCTAACCTCAGCACGTGTGCCTCTGAGTGAAGTATTTATCACTATTTTAGTGCTGAGTTGTGATGTTTTAGGAAATTTTCTTCTGTCTTCTCCATATAATTAAGCTTCTTATCCTGTGGGATTCTCAAAGGAACTGTGGGCTTAACCTCWTTATCCATGTGAGGAGAGCATGGACTAACCTCTGCATCTATAAAACCCCTGGGAATACCAAAAGTCCAGTGGTTCCAGGTTGGCTCCATTGTGTTTCTTTGGGTCCTTTCTTTGTTCCTCTGCAGAGAGAAGGCAGAGATCCTGTCTTTGTACCCCACAGCTGATACAAAACTGTCCAAATCTGTTGTCATTCTGAACCATTACTACTGCAACCTAAAACCACATGTACAGGTTTATGCTAAATCTTAAAAGAAGATGGAATGGGAAGTGCTGGAAAGGATACTTCCTGCAACTGTTTAATATATTTTCAGAAATTAGCGGCCAATTTATGCAGGTGCCATCTTCTAAAGGCTTTTATCCAGTCAGTGCTGTTACTTTGGAAGGCCAGTAGATATATATTTTAAAGGGTTGCAAGTTGTGTTTCATCACAGTTTTGTTTTTCTCTTCATTCCAAGTTAATAACTTGCTGAAATAGTGGGAAAATTGAAAAAACAGTTGGGGATAACAGGAACCTCTTAGATCCATCTTTTTCAATTTGTGATATTGGTTGTTTGAAGGGGTTATTTTTTGTTTCCAATACTTCATGAACTGTGAGAGGAACTTTTTTATTTCCAAGCCTGGAAAAGTTTTAATCCCTTGAACATCCCRTTTATTTTTTCTGTGCATGTGTWTCACCAYACATTAAATCATATAGTGGTAGGCRAAAGAGGGACAATAATATATATTTCCTCTCTTTACCACTAAGTAGCAAAGTTGATAATCACCTTGTCAAACATGACTTTTATYGGAAGTTTTTGGAAAAATACGACAAAGTCTGCATTGGTCTTGACATGAATGAAAAATAAAAGTAGCTCGTTGCTTCAGCTGTGTGTGTATATATTTGGGGTTGCATTTGTATATATACATTTTGTGACGTATTACATTGACTGAYGAAAGCTTTTGAGCTATAAGGATAGGTTTTTATTTTGTTTTGTTTTTTTTTTTTTTTGTTTTTTTGTTTTTTTTTTTTTTTTAGAATAGAAGCTAAGATAAAGTTTTTCATGCAGAAACTCAAAAGTACAGCAAAACACAAACAAGTTTCTCTGATGCTCACAATTTTCTTTCAGGGCAAGTATTTTTTCTTAAATTCTGCTCTCAGTCAAGCAATTAAATGACTTTTTGGGGATAGAAATAAATGCTATGAGGTCTCATCTGTGTAGCTGGGGTAGGTTTTTATTCCTCTCACCTGTTGCTACCAAAGAGCAGACTCCCTTGTGGCACCCTCTGGCATCCC